TCTGTCGGAGCCATGACAACGGGACTGTAGAGAGAGCTTTCTTCTACAATGGACCTGTGGAAGAAGAGAATAGGGAAGTCCAGGTAGTTTTCAACTTACGGCCACAAATGAGCCCCAAAAGGTCCGTTGCTAAGTGAATCATGCAGTCGTGAAGCGAATCTGCCTTGCCCCATTGACTTTGCTTGTCACAAGCCGGCTGGGATGGTCACTAATGGGGGATCACGTGACCCCAGGACACTGCCAGGGTCATAAATACCTGCACCCAAATTTTGATCACGTGACCATGGAGGTGCTGTGACGGTTGCAATTGTGAAGCGCGGTCCTAAGTCACTATTTTCAGCGCGGTTGTTACTTTGAAATGTAGCATTTCATGACTAAAGTTAAAATACCTTGGGAGAAAGTTACGTATGACCATTTCTCGCACTTATGACTATTGCAGCAAGCCCAAGGTAACATGATCAAACTTTAGGTATTGGAAATCAATATGTATTTATGACGGTCGCAGCATCCCAGGGGGTCACGTGATCCCCATTTGTGACCTGCCGAGCCAGTTTCTGACAAACAAAATTGATGAGGCAAGATGGATTTATTTAGCAGTCTCATCTCCAATCAAACTAGAGCTGGAAGGGACCTGGGAGGTCACCTAGTCCAACCCCCTGATCAAGCAGCAGACCCTATAGCAGTTCAAACGGGTGGCTGTCCAATCTCTTCTTAAACACTTGTAGTGATGGAACACCCACAACTTCTGGAGGCAAGCAGTTCCACTGGTAAATTGTCCTCAATCTTAGAAAGTTTCTCCTTAATTCCAGGTTGCTTCGCTCCTTGATTCGTTTCCATCCGTTGTTTCTTGTCCTGCCCTGTGATGCTTTGGAGAATAAGCTGACCCCTTCCCTCTTCTTTGTGGCAGCCCCTCAAATATTGGAAGACTGCTATCATGTCCCCGTTGGTCCTTTTTATTTGTTTTGTTGTTTCCTGTGTTTAATGTTGCACGCTGCTCGCATCACCTACATGAGATGGACAGCTATGAAAATTTGCCAGTAAATAAATATATGTTGATTCTTGGAACTTCAGAAACTCACAAGCATCCACCATCCTGATGAGCCATCCTAGCAGGCATGACACAACTTAGGACAGGGGTCTTCAAACGTGGCCTTTTTATGAGGCTGGCTGAGGAATTCTGGGAGTTGAAGTCCACAAGTCATAAAAGGGCCAAGTTTGAAGACCACTGGTATAGACTAAGAAGAGTGGACTTCAACTCCAAGAATTCCTCAGTCAACTGCATCCAGTTTTGGTCACCACGATGTAAAAAAGATGTTGAGACTCTAGAAAGAGTACAGAGAAGAGCACAAAGATGATTAGGGGACTGGAGGCTAAAACATATAAGGAATGGTGGCTGGAATTGGGTATGTCTCGTTTAGTGAAGAGAAGGATGAGGGGGGACATGATAGCAGTATTCCAATATCTCAGGGGCTACCCCAAAGAAGAGGGAGTCAAGCTATTTTCCAAAGCGCCTGAAGGCAGGACAAGAAGCAACGGATGGAAACTAATCAAGGAAAGAAGCAACCTAGAACTAAGGAGAAACTTTCTGACAGTGAGAACAATTAACCAGTGGAACCACCTGCCTCCAGAAGTGGTGAATGCTCCAACACTGGACGTTTTTAAGAAGAGACTGGACAGCCATTTGTCCGAAATGGTATAGGGTTTCCTGCCTGAGCAGGAGGTTGGAGTCGATGACCTCTAAGGTCCCTTCCAACTTTATTATTATTATTATTCATAAACGGGCCCCGTTTGAAGACCCCTGACTTGGGAGAACAAAGCCATCAGGACAAGATTCAGCAGTCCATCTGCATTTTGGAAAACCAAGGCCTCTCTTTTGACGACAGCAGAGTCCACATGCTGGACAGAGAGGGCTGCTGATTTGTAAGAGGAGTCCAAGGGGCATCTATGTCAAAACTGAACAAGCCTCTCTCAACATAGGAGGGGGGGGGAATCCGACATCACCTATCTCCAGTCTACAACACAGTCCTTTCAGCAGTCCCAAGAAGGCTCCACACCCATTTGCACCACTCAGGTGACCCTGAAGACACAGATAAGCCTCCAGGTAGCTTTAACGACTCGCTAAAAGAACGCAAATGACCAGCAGTCTGCAAGGCGTATAAATCCTTCCCTCCCCCACCATCCAGTCAGAGCTGAAGAAGCTTCTTAGATGAGAAGCAAAACGTCTTCAAGGAAAGGATCTCCTTGGAGGTCATCTAGTCCAATGGCTTGCCCAGCGCAGAAATGGTTAAGACTATGATCCCATCCCTGGCTGCTGGAATTGGGAATGTCTAATTTAATGAAGAGAAGGATTGTGGGGGGAGGGCTATGACATGATAGCAGCGTTCCAATATCTCAGGGGCTGCCCCAAAGAAGAGGGAGTCAAGCTATTCTCCAAAGCACCTGAAGGCAGGACGAGAAGCAACGGATGGAAACTCATCAAGGAGAGAAGCAAACCTGGAACCAAGGAGAAACTTTCTGACAGTGAGAACAATTAGCCAGTGGAACAACCTGCCTCCAGAAGCGGGGGTTGGACTGAGCAGGGGGTTGGACTAAATGACCTCCAAGGTCCCTTCCAAATTCTTCTTCTTCTTCTTCTTCTTCTTCTTCTTCTTCTTCTTCTTCTTCTTCTTCTTCTTCTTCTTCTTCTTCTTCTTCTTCTTCTTCTTCTTCCTATTATTATTATTATTATTATTATTATTATTATTATTATTATTACTATTATTATTATTAACAAAGAAAGTCCAGTTGCCCCTTGAAAAACACCTTTGGAACAAGCAACTCATCCTCTCTTGCTTCCTGTGGTGGGAAGAATGCATGAGAGCTGCTGGTGTATGAATGCTTGCAATTTGCTTCTCAGCATCCCGATGGGTTGGGTTGGAACAGAGCATCTCCAAGCTCCACCCACCCACCCCTTGGCTCCGCCTTTCCCTTGGCTCCACCTCCTCCCTTAGAATGCATAAAAGCCACTCGGTCCAAGCTGCATCCATCCTTCAGCCAAGGAGCATCCCTCCGCTGAACAGGTGAGTCAGCCGGCCCCTTTTCTTCCCTGATTCATAAGTTTGTCTTTTGACCACATCAGTGGTGGTGGTGCTGAATTTCTTAAAGGGGAACAGAGCTTATTTTAATTGGGCTTGCTGGGCGAGGGAGCTTAGTTGGAATCTATATTTCTGTTTTCTTTTTTTTTTTAATCTTTATACAGCAGGGTTTGGTTGTCTAACTCTAACCCAGTGGTTCTCAGCCTGTGGGTCGGGACCCCATTTGGGGTCGAACGACCATTTCACGGGGGTCGCCAAACAAGGCTGTCCGTCATTTTTTCCCCCTTTTCTTTGGTCACGCCCCTGGCACCCGGTGATGTATAAGTGGTTGGGGGTCACCACAACATGGGGAACTGTATTAGGGGGTCGCGGCATTAGAAAGGTTGAGAACCACTGGTCTAACCGATTTCCTCCGGTTTGGTGTCCTTGAGTTGAGTTTTGAAGGTGCTCAGAAGTTGAAATTAATGCAAATGTGGGTGGTAAAAGAGAAAGGAGGCATGATTTTGGTACCTCAGTGGAACAACCTGCCTCCAGAAGTTGTGAAAAGGGAAAAGAAGAAAAAGGGAGACACGATAGCAGTCTTCCAGTTTTTCAGGGGCTGCCCCAAAGAAGAGGGAGTCAAGCTATTCTCCAAAGCCCCTGAAGGCAGGACAAGAAGCAACGGATGGAAACTCATCAAGGAGAGAAGCAACCTAGAACTAAGGAGAAACTTCCTGACATAACAATTAACCAGTGGAACAACCTGCCTCCAGAAGCGGTGAATGCTCCAACACTGGAAGTTTTTAAGAAGAGACTGGACAGCCATTTGTCCGAAATGGTACAGGGTTTCCTGCCTGAGCAGGGGGTTGGACTAGATGACCTCCAATATCTCTTCCAACTATTCTATTCTATTCTATTCTATTCTATTCTATTCTATTCTATTCTATTCTATTCTATTCACACCTGAAGTTTTTAAGAAAAGTCTGGACAGCCATTTGTCTGAAATGGTATTGGGTTTCCTACCTGAGCAGGGGGTTGGACTAAATGACCTCCCAGGTCCCTTCATTGCTCCTCGAAGCACGAAGCTGAAAACACCAGCCTGAAGATGACGAATGGGACTTCATCGAAACATCGCCAAGATACTTCCAATTTTACACGGGAGAAAACCCGAATAACCAAAGACCTACATATAAATACCCGCGAAAACCTCAGAATATATATATATGTATGTATGTATGTATGTATGTATGTACGTACGTATGTATGTATATGAGGCATAGAATCAAAATTACGTGATGAGGCATAGAATCAAAATTGCGTGAAGTATTAGAATTGCTTTATAAAGCCTTAAGACCACATTTGGAATACCACATCAATGCAAAAAAGACGTTGAGACTTTGGAAAAAGTGCAGAGAAGAGCAACAAAGATGATTTAAAGGCCTGGAGATTAAAACATATGAAGAATGATTGGAGGAATTGGGTAAGGCCAGCCTAAAGAAAAGAAGAAATAGGGGAGACACGATAGCAAGTCTTCCAGTATCTCAGGGGCTGCCCCAAAGAAGAGGGAGCCAAGCTATTCTCCAAAGCACCTGAAGGCAGGAGAAGAAGCAACGGATGGCAACTCATCAAGGAGAGAAGCAACCTAGAACTAAGGAGAAACTTCCTGACAGTGAGAACAATTAACCAGTGGAACTACCTGCCTCCAGAAGCCGTGAATGCTCCAACACTGGAAGTTTTTAAGAAGAGACTGGACAGCCATTTGTCTGGAATGGTATAGGGTTTCCTGCCTGACCTCCAAGGTCCATTCTAATTCTATTATTGTTGTTGTTGTTGTTGTTATAATGCTTCACACCGCAAGGGACTACTGTTCACAAACCACACATGAACAAATTTGTCACACAATGCAAGAAGACTTTTATTCATTTAGCGCTGGTTGGGGGTAGAGTATTTACATCTTATTCTTAAACGGTTATAGGCTTTGGGTCACTTTAGGGGTGCTTCAGGTTCTAAGCCCGTTACGCCAATGGAAACGCCGGCTCTCCGACACCTTAATAAAATTGTGGTTTTCCTTGTTGTTGCTTGTTTGCCAGGTGCATCAGTCGGAGAAGGAGATCTCCAGCCGAGCCGTCCAACATGGTCAAATTCCTTTCCGGAAACATCCGTCCTCTCTCGCCGTTCTCATTTCCGCAGGCAACATCGGACACGCAGCTCTCTGTAGAAAGATGGGAAAGAGAAGAACCCGCTGAGTTTTGGCACTGCCTGCGATGCCTCCAAAGTCAGTCCCAGACAGGTAGTCAAGACGAACAAAGCTTTTCCTAGCTCTCGTTTGTGGGGTTTTAGCCACAAAGCACCCTGGGTGGGGTTAGGATGGTCCCCAACCCGTGGAGTTGTCTGAAATGGTATAGGGCAGTGGCGGCGAACTTGTGGCACGGGTGCCAGAGGTGGCACTCTGAGCCCTCTCTGTGGGCACGCGTGCCATCGCCCCAGTCCTAGGCCTTCAGCTGTGTTTTATAAAACTTTTTCGCTTTAGGCCTCCGCCGCCATGTGCAAAAAAAAAAAAAAAGGTTCAATCAATCAGTCAATTTCAAGTTCTCGCGGGAAAAAAAAACCCTGCAAAGTTGGAATTGATTGATTGAACTTTTTAGTCCCACCCAGTCTGCCGTGACCACCGCAGCCATGCCCACCCAATGGGCCACACCCACCTAATGGGCCACACCCCCCGGCACCCAACGATGCATAAGTAGGTTTTGGGTTGCAGTTTGGGCACTCGGTCTCTAAAAGGTTCGCCATCACTGGTATAGGGTCTCTTGCTTGAGCAGGGGGTTGGACTAGAAGACCTCCCAAGGTCCCTTCCAACCTATAATTCTATGTTCTAAGTCAGTGGTGGCGAACCTATGGCACACGTGCCAGAGGCGGCACTCAGAGCCCTCTCTGTTGGCACGCGCGCCACCGCCGCCAGCAGCAGGTGCATCAGGCTGCTACCGCCGCCCGGAGCAGGAGCCCCATCCAGCACAAAGGAGACGAAGTGGCCGACTAGCAAGCTTGAGTAGAGGTGGTAGAGCAGAGGTCACCAACCATTGATGATTGGTGGACTGGAAGAAAAGGGAGGGGGAAGTATTTTACACGTGTGCATGTGCACATGGGGTGGGGCAGTTAATAAACGAGGGCTAGGACAGTTTTGTCACTTAAGTTGATTAGTATGCTCCCATCAGCTGCCAGCTGCTGCCTGAAACTGACTGGACCTTAATCAGAGTTACTCTAAAGACTTTTGTCGTTCTAAAAAGGCCTGCACTGCTTGGGAAATGAATTTTTAATCCGCTCCTTTTTGTGAACAGTCACAATCTGTGACAGTTGATAAACGAGGACTACCTTGATAGGAGAGGAAGAGGATGCTTTTAACTTGCTGAAATCATTTCAGCCGCCTCAAACTTTAACTCCCAGGACTACCGGGAGTTCTGGGAGTTGAAGTCCAACACATCTGGAGGGCATCTGGTTAGAGAACGGAATGCTTTAGGGCAGCGGTTCTCAACCTGTGGGTCGCGACCCCATTTGGGGTCGAACGACCATTTCACGGGGGTCGCGAAACAATGCGATCCGCCATTTTTTTCCTCAGCTGGCGGCACCGCGCATGTGCGCAGTGCCACGCATGTGCGCTGTGCCACGCATGTGCCGCCGCGCATGGGGGCGCCGCCGCGCATGCGCGGCTTGTCCTTATGACTGGGGTCGCTGGTATAAAAAGGTTGAGAACCACTGCTTTAGGGCTTCAGAGAAAAAAAATAACAATTCACAGCACCAATCAACCTAAACTTTGGCTGAGGAGGTGTGCAATTAAATTTTTTACAACTTGTCTGATATTTCTTTTTCTCCCTCCAGTTCCCTTTTCTTCCCCACTCCTATTTTTCCCCCTCCCATTAATACCATCATTGCAGCAAATGCCAGGGGCTGCGCATCGCCCGCCCGCCCCGCAGGGCTTCCCACCAGCCTCGCAGGGAGAAGGGAGAAAGGTCTCTTCCAAGCAACGCAGAGTTTCCGAAGTCCCAAAATGGCAGCCCATCTCTTCTCCACAACAGATGTTGGGCCCGAAGCACTTTCCTCTGTTGCCAGGGCCACAAGGGATACACTAAGACAGAGAGAGAAAAAGGGGAAAGAAGAGGATTCACATCTGGAGGCATCAGTTCCTGCTGAGCTGCTGTAGTTCCTTCCTGGTGCTAAATCCCCAAAGATTAAGGTAGACTGCTGCTCAGCTTGGAGGTTCCCTAAATGGCCGCTAATTTCCTGTGCAATTTTTCAAGCGTCTTTCGAACATGGTGTCACCTTCAAATGCCAGGAATGCTCACACCCAATTGTAAGACACACATTGCAGAAAAAGCAAAAATGATAAAATGAAAAAATGGCAAGTGATCAGGAGTGCAATCCATCCTTTGAGGGTGGCTGCTTTAAGAGGCAGTTTGGTCTAGTGGTGGTTCAGGCACCAAGTTTGAAAGAAGGAAACGGTGAGGTCACATCCTGCCAAGCCCAGCGGGTGACTTTGGGCCACTCACCAGGAGACGGTGAGTTCTAGTCTCACCTTAAGCATGAAAGTTGGCAACGGTTCCTTCTATGTTTTAGCCCCTCAGTCCCCTGATCGTCTTTGTTGCTCTTCTCTGCACTCTTTCTAGAGTCTCAGCATCTTTTTTACACTGTGGTGACCAAAACTGGATGCCATATTCCAAGCGTGGCTTTACCAAGGCCTTGTAAAATGGTATTAGCACTTCACGTGATCTTGATCCTATCCCTCTATTAATGCAGCTAGCATTGCGTTGGCCTTTTTGGCAGCTGCAGCACACTGCTGGCTCATATTTAGGTGATTGTCTACTAGGACTCCGAGGTCCCTCTCACAGTTACTACTATTGAGCATGGTGACACCTATGCTGTACTTGTGCATTTGGTTTTTCTTGCCTAAATGTAGAACCTTACTTTTTTCACCACTGAATTTCATTTTGTTAGATAGTGCCCAGTGTTCAAGTCTGTCCAGATGCTCCTGTATCTTAAGTCTGTCTTCTGGAGGGTTGGCTATTCCTGCCATCTTGGTGTCATCCGCAAATTTGATGAGTTCCCCATCTATCCCCTCGTCCAAATCGTTGATGAAGATGTGGAAGAGCACTGGGCCTAGAATAGAGCCCTGGGGCACCCCACTACACACTTCCCTCCATGTGACAGCTCCTTGAGTACTGGAAGATAGTTATGATGTCCCCTCTAAATCTTCTCTTCAATAGGCTAGACCAGGACTAGGCAACCTTGGCTCTTTTATGACTCGTGGACTTCAACTCCCAGAATTCCTGAGCCAGCCATGCTGAGGGGAAAGTGAGAGGTTTCCAAGCTGAGCCATGCTGGCTCAGGAATTCTGGGAATTGAAGTCTACGAGTCACAAAGCGGCCTAGGCCTAGGCCAGAGGTAGGCCACCTTGGCTCTTTTATGACTTGTGGACTTCAACTCCCAGAATTCCTGAGCCAGCAGGGCTCAGCTTGGAAATCTCTCCCTTTCCCCTCAGCATGGCTGGCTCAGGAATTCTGGGAGTTGAAGTCCACGAGTCATAAAAGAGCCAAGGTTGCCTATCCCTGGGTTAGACGTACTTACTTCCCTCAACCGTTCGTCATATGATGTAGCCTCCAGATCCTTCCTCATCTTTACGAATATCAGTGTCTATGGAGACTCTCAACCGTCCAGGTCATGATTGTCCCAAAGGTGCTTTTCAAAGGGCAACTGGATCTTCCTTAGTTTTTTCCTTGAAAACACTTCACTTCTTGGACAACCGTTTGTCCGAAATGATGTTGGGTCTCCCGCTTGAGCAGGGGGTTGGACTAGAAGACCTCCAAGGTCCCTTCCAACTCTTGTTCTTCTCCTCCTCCAAGAAAACTTCTTCAGTTCTTTCGTGGCAAACGGAGACAGCCAGGGGCAGAACTGAAGAAGCTCCCTGGGCGAGAAGGGAAACAACATTTCCTGAGTTTGTAACGTTTCATTAGATGATAGAATAAGATGCAAAAATTTGCAAAAGCAAATCCTAGGACAGCGGGGGGGGGAGGGAAAGGGGAAAGAAAAGTGAGGAGGAGAGAGGGGGGGGGAAAGAAAAGAGAAGAGAAAAGAAAAGAGAAAAGAGGAGAAAAGGAAAGGAAAGGAATGGAGAGGAGAGGAAAGGAAAGGAAGGAGAGGAGAGGAGAGGAGAGAAGAGGAGAGAAAGGAAAGGAAAGGAAAGGAAAGGAAAGGAGAGGCGAAGAAAGGAAAGGAAAGGAGAGGAGAGGAAAGGAAAGGAGAGGAGAGGAGAAGAAAGGAAAGGAAAGGAAAGGAAAGGAGAGGCGAAGAAAGGAAAGGAAAGGAGAGGAGAGGAAAGGAAAGGAGAGGAGAGGAGAGGAGAAGAAAGGAAAGGAAAGGAAAGGAGAGGCGAAGAAAGGAAAGAAAAGGAGAGGAGAGGAAAGGAAAGGAGAGGAGAGGAGAGGAGAAGAAAGGAAAGGAAAGGAAAGGAAAGGAAAGGAGAGGCGAAGAAAGGAAAGGAAAGGAGAGGAGAGGAAAGGAAAGGAAAGGAGAGGAGAGGAGAAGAAAGGAAAGGAAAGGAAAGGAGAGGCGAAGAAAGGAAAGGAAAGGAGAGGAGAGGAAAGGAAAGGAGAGGAGAGGAGAGGAGAAGAAAAGAAAGGAAAAGAAAGGAAAGGAAAGGAAAGGCATTGACTTCCAACTCCCTCGGTTGCAGTAAAAAAGAGCATTAACATCGAACTTCAACTTTTTACTTTTCCATACTAGATTAAACTAGCCATTACTATAACAACAAACCAACCTGATCAGTAAAACCCAAAAACGAAACATTTTCAAAGAAACAAACAATCAAACAAAGTCCAGTTACCTTTTGGAGAAAAAAAAAAACCCACACCTTTGGGATTTAACGGTACAGCTTAGGTCTCCCACGGGTATGAATGCATGTCGGGCTCCTATTTTGCAAATAAGGGCAGGAAGGCTAAATGCAAACACCTGGGATGCTTTTTCTCCTTACCTGTCGGACTTCTGCATCGGGCATGGACCTCTTTCCTCCTCGGGGGCAGTTCTGGATGTAGCAGGCTGAAGACCAGGTGAGAAGGCAAAAGAGAGACACCGCAAGGATCCCGGCAGGCATCTTAAAAGGCTTGGCAACTGAGCGTGCTCCTGTTGTCTTTGCCTTCTTGCTGTTTGTGTCTCGTGTCCTGGCTGCATCCCGGCCCCGTATTTATATTGTTTGCATCAGTTATATTTGGAGCCCCGTAACGCTGCGCCCCCCCAATATTGCTGCAGGTGGGGGGCTCTCCGGCCCCCTCGCTCTGCAGGCCTCCCACCCACAAGCTGCCCTCCAAGCGAGGCCTGTAATTGAGCCATTTGGTGCCAAGAGTTGTTCATTTCTCCCAAGGCGCTGCTGGATTGTCAGCCAATTATTTTTTCTAATCAGGGCATCATCAAAATTGTGAGTCGGATGGCCTGCGGAGACGAGGTTGGCTGGCAGCGACAAGAAATAAAATCAGGGTGTTGTTGTTTTTTTTCCTCTTTGTCCAAAATCTTTTTTTTTATTATTATTATTGTTTTCCCCTCTCCCCTGGCAGGGATGTTGTTATTTTACAAAGGCTGAAAAGCTTCGTCAACATCGTTAGGTTGACGGCGAAAGGCCTCCAAATCTTCCCCCGCTTTGAAAAAGCATATGCCACGCTTGGAAAGGCATGTCTGGCACGGTCCTTTCTCCGAACGATGAAAGTGCGGCCTAAGTTTTGTGTTCTGGAAAAGCTCCCTTGGCTTAAAACTGGCTCCCGCCATCGTCCCGGAGGTGCTTTTTTTTCAAGAGGCAACTGGATGGACATTTTGCTTCTCATCCAATGAGCTTCTTCGGTTCGGGTTTTTGTGTGTGTGTGTGTGGTAAACTGAAGAAAGTCAGTTGCAGAGCAGAAGAAGCTTCTTGGAGGAGAAGCGAAACGTCTTCAAAGAAAAACAAGAAAGTCCAGTTGCCTCCTGAAAAAAGCTCCTTTGGGAGAACAGGATAACCTGGATGACTGAGAATCTCCATAGACATATAGAATGGAATGGACTGGAATAGAATGGAATGGAATGGGATGGGATGGGATAGGATAAGAATAGAGTAGAGTAGGAAAGAATAAGAGTAAGAGTAAGAGTAGAGTAGAGTAGAGTAGAGTAGAGTAGAATAGAATAGAATAGAATAGAATAGAATAGAATAGAATAGAATAGAATAGAATAGAATAGAATAGAATAGAAAATAGTCACTCAGCTGGCTGTCATGTCTAAGGCGAGACTAGAACTCACCGTCCCCTCTTGATTGGCCCAAAGTTACTCAGCTGGCTGTCATGGCTAAGGCGGGACTAGAACTCACCATTCCCTGATGATTGGCCCAAAGTCACTCAGCTGTCATGGCTAAGGCAGGACTAGAACTCATCGTCTCCTGCTGATTGGCCCAAAGTCACTCAGCTGGCTGTCATGTCTAAGGCGGGACAAGAACTCACCGTCCCCTGGTGATTGGCGCAAAGTCACTCAGCTGGCTGTCTAAGACGGGACTAGAATTCACCCTGGTGATTGGACTAGAACTCATGTTCTCTTGTTTTCTAGCCTGGTGCCTTAACCACTACACCAAACTGTCTCAAACTGGCTATTGCTGTTTTATGACATTGTAAGCCACTCAGAGTCTCTTGACTGTGAGATGGGCAGCATATCAATTTAATAAACAAACAAATGTCTGTACCCAGACTATTTGCTACTGAGCTTATTGATATTTAAAAAAAAAAAAAACACCCTTTCCATCCAGGATTTCCTGGTGGTCTCCTCTCCAGCCACATAACCTGTGATGAGCTAATTCTCTGCTTAATATGTGAGCAGGCAATCCTTCAGTCCTTCAATCCAAAAAGTCCACCTGATGCAGATGTTGGACCTGCCAGCTGTTTTCCCACTAACCATCTTATGACAACCCCCCCCCCCCATTGGCAAGTCAATGAAAAGGGATCTCTAACGGAGGCCAGATTTATGGTTTAATCCAGAGGATCCTTAAAACAAATATAAAACTGAAACCAGAAGTCTTTCTTTTAGGACTATTGGCCAAGGACCTTGAAGATAAACTCTGGAACTCTATTATTAGATATATTGGCTGCAGCAAGAATATACAGGCAAAAATGGAGTTTTCCCAGTTGAAACTATGGTGAAATTTCTGTTTTCTATTTTCTGTTCCATTGTAGTTTTCTATTTTATTCTATTTTCTATTCTTTTCTATTCTCTCTCTTCCCTTCCCTTCTGTTGTTTTCTATTTTCTATTTTTCTATTTTCTCTCCTTCCCTTCCATTTCATTACCTTCCATTCCATTCTATTGTTTTCTATTTTATTCTATTTTCTATTCTTTTCTATTTTCTCCTTTCCTTTCCTTTCCTTTCATTCCCTTCCATTCTATTGTTTTTTATTTTCTATTCTTTTTTATTTTCTCCCTTCCCTTCCCTCCCATTCCATTCCCTTCCCTTCCATTCTATTGTTTTCTATTTTCTATTCTTTTTTTATTTTCTCCCTTCCCTTCCCTCCCATTCCATTCCCTTCCCTACCATTCTATTGTTTTCTATTTTCTATTCTTTTGTATTTTCTCCTTTCCTTTCCTTTCATTCCCTTCCATTCTATTGTTTTTTATTTTCTATTCTTTTTTTATTTTCTCCCTTCCCTTCCCTCCCATTCCATTCTCTTCTCTTCCATTCTATTGTTTTCTTTTCTTTTCTATTTTCTCCTTTCCTTTCCTGTCCTTTCCTTTCATTCCATTCCATTCCATTGTATTGTTTTCTATTGTTTTCTATTTTCTATTCTTTTTTTATTTTCTCCCTTCCCTTCCCTTCCCTTCCATTCTATTGTTTTCTATTTTATTCTATTTTCTATTCTTTTTTTATTTTCTCCCTTCCCTTCCGTTCTATTGTTTTCTATTTTCTCCCTTCCCTTCCCTCCCCTCCCATTCTTCTTCCCTCTTTTCTTACTCCTATCCCTATCCCTTTTTCCATAGCTGCCCACGACAAACAAGTGACTCTTTTAGGCTCTTGGGTGAACTCCTGATTCAGTACGTCTTGTGAACACAAAACAGGTCAACCGAGCCATTGTGTGAACACGATCGGTGACATCTCCAACTTCTCTTTTGTGGCCAGGCCAAAAAAGATGGGGAGAAGGACCGGGGGGGGGGGGTGAGGGGGCTCCTGGCTATATATCAAACCATCCTCCGCACACCTGACTTCAGCCAAATAGCTGCAGCGATCTTCTGCCAAGCTGCAGATGGAAATTCCTCTGGCTCGGCATGACGAGGAACGTGGGACTCTTTGGCTGCAGCCCCCAAATTCCCCTGCGCCCATTTTCCCATCTATGTAGGACAAGAGACTAACAGGAGTGGCTTTGAAGGAAGACTTTCTCCTTTTTTCTCCTACTTTTCGTTCTGGAAAAACACAGTTTACGCAGAAGATTCCGGCCTCACTTCTTCCCAGCTTTAGGGAAATAATAATAATAACAATAATAATAATAATAATAATAATAATAACAACAACAACAACTAGGAACTGCTTCCATCCTACGACGATACCTGTAATACCATCAAACATCCACATCTGCCTATCCCAGGTCCTGGGTAAGGACTCGATAGGTAGACAAAATGCCAAATCCAGTCTGAACATCTGGCTGACTGTGCAATGATCCATAATAATAATAATAATAATAATAATAATAATAATAATAATAATAATAATAATAATAATAATAATACAAAGTCAAAATTGAGAAGACAGCAACAGACAGTAAGTGCCGCCTCTGCAAAGAAGCTGAAGAAACAGTGGACCACCTGGTAAGCTGTTGCAAGAAGATTGCACAGACTGATTATAAGCAGCGGCATGACAAAGTAGCAACAACGGTGCATTGGAAGATCTGCAAAAAATATCATTTGCCTGTAAGCAAAAACTGGTGGGATCATAAAATACAGAAAGTCATAGGAAATGATAAAATTAAACTGCTCTGGGACTTCAGAATTCAAACAGACAAGCACCTGCAACATAACACCACAGACATAACAATTGTCGGTAAGAAAGACAAAAAAGTCTGGATAGTGGACGTGGCAGTGCCTGGAGATAGCAGAATAGAAGAGAAAGAACTGGAGAAGATAACAAAATACAAAGACCTACAAATAGAAATAGAAAGACTGTGGCAAAAGCAAGCAAGGGTAGTACCAATAGTCATAGGATCCTTGGGTGCAATCCCAAAACAACTGGAGCACCACTTGAACACCATCATCGGCATTGACAAATTTGCTATTAGTCAATTGCAAAAGGCGGCCTTATTAGGAACTGCTTCCATCCTGCGACGATATCTGTAATACCATCAAACATCCACATCTGCCTATCCCAGGTCCTGGGTAAGGACTCGATAGGTAGACAAAATGCCAAATCCAGTCTGAACATCTGGCTGACTGTGCGATGATCCATAATAATAATAATAGAAATAATAAAGTTGGAAGGGACCTTGGAGGCCATCAAGTCCAACCCCTTGCTCAGGCAGGAAACCCTATATTATTTCGGACAATGGATGTCCAGTCTCTTCTTAAAAACGTCCAGTGTTGGAGCATTCACAGCTTCTGGTGGCAGATTGTTCCACTGGTTAATTGTTCTCACTGTCAGGAAGTTTCTCCTTAGTTCTAGGTTGCTTCTCTCCTTGATTACTTTTCATCTGTTGCTTCTTGTCCTGCCTTCAGGCGCTTTGGAGAAGAGCTTGACTCCCTCTTCTTTGGGGCAGCCCCTGAGATACTGGAAGATTGCTATCATGTCCTCCCTCATCCTTCTCTTTGTTAAACTAGACATTCCCAATTCCATCAACCGTTCCTTATATGTTTTAGCCTTGAGACCTTTAATCCTCTTTGTTGCTCTTCTCTGCACTCTTTCTAGAGCAGTGGTTCTCAACCTTTTTAATGCCGCGACCCCCAACCGGTCGTAAGTCGAGGACTACTCAACCGGTTGTAAGTCGAGGACTACTCAACTGGTGCAGCACCGTTTGAAGAATGGGACTTTTGGCGGGCTCAGCAGGGCAGAGACAGCCTGGACAATTCCTATTGGCTTTGGAAAGCCAATAGAATTAGACTCTATTCAAGAGAGTCTATTCTATTGGCTTTCAAAAACCAATAGAATAAAAGGGAGGAGCACAGCTAAGGAAAAGGGGGGAAAAATGGCGGACTGCATTGTTTGGCGACCCCCATGAAATGGTCATTCGACCCCAAATGGGGTACTGACCCACAGGTGAGAACCACTGTTCTAGAGTCTCAGCATCTTGTTTACATTGTGGTGACCAAAACTGGATGCTGTATTCCAAGTGTGGCCTTGCCACTTGGCAGGAAAAGGGTCTCAGCTTGAGCAAAAGGGGGTAAGGACTGGTGCTGTGATGTAACCATGGTTATGAGGATGGTTGGCTACCATTTAGCAGAGAGGCTCCAGAGATGTACCCCATTGCTGATCAGCAACCAAAAAAGCTAATACAATCCTGGGTTGTATAAACAGAGGCATAGAATCAAGACCACGCGAGGTATTAGTACCGCTTTATAAAACCCTAATGAGACCACACCTGGAACACTGCAGCCAATTTTGGTCACCATATCACAAAGAAGATGTTGAGAGTTTTGAAAAAATTTAGAGAAGAGCGGCTAAGATGATCCAAGGCCTGGAGACTAAAACATACAAAGAATGGCTACGGGACTTGGGTTTGGCTAGTCTAAAGAAAAGAAGAAATAGGGGAGACGTAATAGCAGTCTTCCAGTATCTGAGGGGCTGCCACAAAGAAGAGGGGGTCACATTATTCTCCAAAGCACCAGAGGGAAGGACGAGAAACAATGGTTGAAAATTGATCAAGGAGAGAAGCAACCTGGAATTAAGGAGAAACTTCCTGACAGTGAGGACAATTAACCAGTGGAACAGCTTGCCACCAGAAATCGTGGGCGCCCCATCACTGGAAATTTTCAAGGACAGACTGGACAGTCACTT